AAGCAAAACTTAGCATGGTTCGGGCAGCTTCACATAAGGATCGGTTTCGTCTTTCGACAATCCCGTTCTGTTGAGGTGTGTAGGGAGCTGAGAAGTTGTGACTGATTCCCTTTTCTTCCAGGAATCTTCAAATTCTTTATTTTTGAACTCCAACCCATTGTCGCTTCTGATGTTGCGAACGACCTTCTTCAGCTGTACTTCAATCTGCTTGATGAACACTTTTAGCTTGTGAGTCGCTTCAGATTTAAGCTTCAGAAAGAACACCCATGTAAAACGTGAAAAGTCATCAACAATAACAAGAATATACTTGCTACCACCAATGCTTTCGATAGAAGATGGACCACATAAATCAATATGAAGTAATTCTAGTGGTTCAACAACTTTAGTGTTTATTATAGATGGATGACTTTGACGACTCTGCTTCCCCATTTCACATGCAGCACACAGATGATCTCTATCATACTTGAGCAATGGAAGACCTCTAACGTGACCTCCAGTAACAAGTTTGTTGATATCTTTGAAGTTGAGATGAGAGAGTCTTCGGTGCCATAGCCAGCTTTCGTCAGATTGTGCTTTGGATAACAAGCAGATGGCTGGGTTTCCTTTGATTGGTTTGAGATTTAGGGGAAACATTTCACCTTTGCGCTCTGATTTGAGAATAACTTTGTTCGTCTGCTTTTCAATAATTTCCGAACCTTCATCATCGAATGAGACCTTGAGACCGGTACCTCCAACAAGCTGAGATACACTGATGAGATTATGTTGTAGTCCCTCTACATATGCAACCTTCCTACGTGTGAAATCACAGTTTGTAATCATCCCGTAGCCTTTGATGGTGCCGAAGGAGTTGTTCCCAAATTTGACATTTCCACCATTTGAAAGAGATCTGAATTCCCTTAGCTCTTCCTTCCTTCCTGTCATGTGACGCGAGCAGCCACTATCAATGTATCATTCTTCGTCAATGTACCATTCTTCATCAAACTGCAAAAATTAAGCAGATTTAGGAACCCAGAGCTTCTTGGGTCCACGTGAGCTTTTTACAGGAACAGGAATAGTAAGAGAGATGTCAACTAAATATGTTCTTTTTATTAGTGTTGTTTCATCTTTCCTTTTGATGGTGAAAACTTTGATTTTATTTGGATTTGATGCTTTTGGTATTGATTCTGGTTCAACATCTGAAACCCTTTGTTTTCCTTTTTGTACAGCTGATGACTGAGATTTTTGAGAAGGAACAGAGTGGAATTTAGGACGAGAAGAGACAGAAGATTTTGAAGAGTTAGAAGAGTTAGAATGAGATAGCTCAGATCGATATGACTTCTTGGTTGAAGATTCTAGGTGACTCTTTTGCTTTTGATTAACAGTAGGACCAACCCTAGAGTTTTGATCTCTTTTGATTTCCGAACCAAACCTGTGCTTTCGGTTGAAATCATTTTCTGAACCGAACCTATGCTTTCGGTTGTTGTTATGCTCTGAGCCGAACCTCTGCTTTCGGTTGTCATTGTGCTCTGAACCGAACCTCTGCTTTCGGTTGTTGTTTTGCTCAGAACCGAGCCTCTGCTTTCGGTTGTCATTGCTCTCTGTCGATCCAACAGGATTTTTCTCTGGTTTTAAATTCCTGTCTTGATGTGAGAAATAGGCATTTTGCGATTGCCAAAATTGTTTTCTTTCTGAGAGATTCTTCCTATATCTCTGATTCCTTTCTCGTTTTTGATTTCTCATCTGCTTTGGTTGATGATGGATGTTAGCTTTATGTTTTTGGTTTTCGTTGGCTGATCCACTCTGAACTGATGAAGTTTCACTTGGGGATGTGACTTCTTTTGCAGGATTTCTTTCTCTTGAGGGACATCTTTTGTACCACTGGTACTTGCCACGTTGAAGCTATCAGGTTTATTCAAAGGTTCTGGTACGTATCTGCCTTTGCTTTTCCATGAAGTCCTTTCAGACAGACCTACCGTTTCATCAGCATTGTCAATGGGAGCTGACCAGAAGAACTCGTCACAGCCATCAGCATTGTCTTCGTTCACAATAGCTGTGAGTTCAGCAGTCTGATGTTCGGTTACACCTGTGACTTTGTACACCTGATTTGGAGTGGTTCTAACTTTTTGGTATACGACTGCCTTCTCTACAAGAATCGGGGACTTTTGTTGGGACAACCGAGCGAACTCCACAGAATTTTCTGAAATGAGATTTTTGTGGTTCTCGGGTTCATTCTTGACAAATTCTGAACAATCAACTGTGTCCTCTACAGAAATTTCACTCATATTATCGTCCTCATTAAGCTCAGATGCATTTTCAACATCAATTTTATTTTCTGAGCTTAAGTTGACATTCAATGAGTCAAATTTTTGTATGGTTTCGGTTCTTAGCTTCAGTTTATCATTTTCATCCAAAAGGTTTTTGAGCATGTTCTTGTGGTCCTTGGATTTTATGAAAGATTCTATTTTGTCCAGTCCATACATATATGTTGGATTAACATCCTCAGACGAAATAATACTCTCACAATTATATGCATCAGCATCAATTTCATCTTCCTTAAACTCAAGAAAGGGTAAAATCATGCGATGAATCTTTTGCCCTATTTCACAATTCAAATGAAGCTGAGTAATATTTGTATAAAGACGTTTGGCAATCAAACAAAAAACATTTCGCTGTTTCAAAAGCTTTAAATTGTCTCTTTGCAAATAAATGTTTTCATCTTTTATTTTGATTAACTCCGACTCCTTCAGTTCGATCCACATCCGCCGTTCCTCACTCTTCGAAGACACCCTGCTTAATTGGTCAGTTAGGTTAGAATTGGTGACCCGAGTTTGAGTTAAACTACTATCTAGATGAGAGATTCTTGAATTAACACTTTTTAATTCCTTTTCATATGAGCATTGTGGGACTTTAAATGAGACAAAAACTGATTGTACCTTCTTGATCAGTTCATCAAGTTCGCTGAACTGCACGCTGAGTGGTTTGGCAGTAAAGCACAGATTCTGTTGTTCCTTGTCATCATTCCCACCATCAGTGTTGTATCCCCTCATCTGAGAAACGTCGGACACCATAAGCATCTTCCTCCACTGCTTTCTTCTTTCGCTACATAAGCCTTTCCATGTGAAGGCTTCCTCACTTCATCATCTTCGGAGTCGGTTGACCAGACCTCCACGCCACCGAACTCATCATCAGCTACCGAACCCTGCACAATTAAAGCATTCATAGGAGGGTTAGTAGCAGATTTCTTCATCCTTAATTCATCAAGCTTTTTCATCAACACAACTTCTTCATCATTTTCCTCGTCCTTTTCTGCCATCTTTTTGAGGACGCAGTCTTTTGCATAGTGGTTCTTTCCTCCACAATAAAAGCAGCTCACTCCAGAATCTCCTTCAGCCTTCGGTTCCTTCTTTGACTCTGCAGCCTTCGGTTCATCTTTGACCTTTTCAGAGCTATAACTCCCTTGCCAGTTTCGGTTCCTGTTAGTGGGGAATCTCTTCTTGATGAATCTCTTGGGGTTTGACACCATCATAGCATAGTCCTCAGACGTGAGATCATAATCATCCAAGTTGAGATCTTCGTCCTCTATCACCGCTTTGCTTTTCGATAGGAGGGCCAATGAACCAAGACCTGAAACCACGTTTTTCTCCTGTATACGATCTTTTCTTGAGATTTTAGGATCCCCACCAGTTTTGCCAAAGAATAGGATTTAAATTGCTCGTGCGCTTTAACTGTGGACACAACTACTCTCCACTCTGATCTGAGTCCGTTCAAAAACGTAACCTTCTGTTCAATAAGCTTCCTTTCGATGTCATGTTTGATCATCTTGCTAAGAAGATGATTGAAGCGATCGAACGTTTGAGTTACCGTTTCTTCTGTTCCTTGCTTGAACTCACCAAACTCAGACAAGAGTAAGGTTTGAATGGAGTGTTCAAGATCTTCGTCTGTAGAGTACAGTTCACGTAGCCTGTCCCATATCTCTTTTGCAGTCGTGCATGAACTTACCAGCCTAAAAGTATCGGATTGAAGAGCAAATCTGATCAATCTTAACGCTTTGATATTGCACTGAAATTTAACTTTTTCGTCTTGCGCTACATCTTTAACATCTTTCAGAAGATCGTTATACTCCTTTTGAGTTTTAATAATCCTTGAAGTTGCTGAATGAGAAAAAGGTCCAGAGATGATTGCTTCCCAGATGAGGTATCCATTATCCTCAGATCCTATGACATAATCTTCAAAGTGATTCGCCCAGACTTCATAATCATGGGTGTACAGGATGGGAATCTTCGTTGTTGATCCAATGCTGTTTGAAATATTGATGGGATTGGATTGCGACTCGTCCATAATTGATCGAATAACCTGTTCAAAGATCAGACTTGTAATATATCAAATTAGGGAAAAAATAATAAATATCGAGATACGTCAATTATGAGATGAAGACTCAATAAATATCAATGAATGCGGAATAACCCTAATCGAAGCTTTTGCACAGAAAAGAAGTGTATCGATTACACAGCCTCCTGCTCTGATACCAATTGATAAGTTTAAAAATAAACTTGAAGATCGATTAGATCTATGAAACAGGTAGAGAAATAACCAGATAAACAATAAGAACAAGCAAATGGATCAAAAGGTGTCGAATGATTAATAAACAATCCTCAGAAGAGCTCGATAAAGAACATCAACTGTAGAGGATTTTAGGGTTTACAATAATCAATGAGAATGACGACAGCTATCCTATACGCATACATGCATGCATATATTTATAACAAAACCCTAACCGTTTATCAAAGAAAAAGGGCTAATCTAGATAAACATGGATTGACAAGCCCAATCCGGTTGTAAAACAAAAGAGCCCAAGACGCAACACATTAATCTTCAACAACACCCATTTGTATCCATTCACAAAAGCATCTGACATACTAATCACAAACTTATGCATTACGCAAGTTCTATGGAAGCCATGGAAGTGTACATGTTTTCTCTTGTCCCTATTTAAGTGGAGATGAACCTTGGAATAAGTTGCTCTAAGATTCCAAGTACCTTTTGTTTTGCAATAAGCTTTGTTCAACATGCCCAAAGCTTCCTGCTTCCTCTGTTTTCCTTCTGCCATCAGCATCATTCCCAGGACAAATGTTGAATCCAAATGTCCCAATGCAGATGCTTTCTTTAAGCATCGTTATCCCTTTATGATCAACTTCCAAGAAAAATAACTTCATTTAAAAAAACATTAGTCACATAACTTCTAGTTAAAGTAATGCAAAACAAGAATTAATTAATACTATGCATATAAAAACATACCAATCCATCCCTGAACAGAATATTTTTGTTTCTCATTTCTTTGCATTTGTTGACAACTGCATGTTTCTGGTCAGACCAACGACAAAATCGTAATCCATCTACCTCTATATGTTTGTATATTTCTTCCATTTTTTCTGACTCGTTCAAGATTCTGCAACTACAAACGAAACACAATATTTACCCCAAACTGTAAGCACAAATCAAATATACACGTGTAATAGAAGGATCAAAGAAAAAACTTACACACTCTTCATCTTGAAAGCGTTGACGGCTGAAATTTTTTGCAACTCGACTATGATCTTCTCACTTCCAATGACATGTCAGTTAGCGATTTCCTTTGCTTTCTTGGTTGCATCTTCGAAGAAGTACTAACTTCCATAATATTATTCCTTAACTAAGATAACGATTATGTAAAAACGATTTTAGGGTTTTTCGACTGTCAGAATTTTAAAACTAGGGTTGATTGCAAGTGACTGAAATAAGACTGAAGAACTGAAACGACGTGATTCGTCAAAAAAATTATGGTGCCTACAAGATGTTGACTACAAAATGACCAAATTGCCCACATATATACATTGACTCATATTTGATTAGTAAGGGTAGTTTTGTCAAAAATCATAACTAAAATAAAAAAAAAATCAATCTATTTTAAAATACAATCGACACAATTGATATATGCCTTTTTAATCTAGCAACTACCACATTGACCAATGACCCATATGTCATCCATAGGTGTTACCATGAGACTATGCAACTATCACTTTGACCAATGACCAATGTGTCATCCATGGGTGTTACCAAGAGACTATAACCAACTATCACATGTCGACCCATGATCCATATGTCATCCATGGGTGTTACCATGACCCATATGTCATCCATGGGTGTTATGATGACACTATAACGAACTATCACATTGACCATGATCCATGGGTATTACCATGACACCATAACCAACTACCACATTAACCCATGACCCATATATCATCCATGGGTGTTATGATCATGACATTATAACCTACTATGACATTGACCCATATGTCATCCATGGGTATTACCATGACACTATAAGTAACTACCACATTGACCCATGACCCATATGTCGTCATCCATACCACGACATTAGAAACTACCACATTGACTAATGACCCATATGTCATCCATTGGTATTACCATGACACTAGCTATAACCAACTAACACATGTCAACCCATTGACCATATGTCATCCATAGGTGTTACCATGACCCATATGTCATCCATGGGTATTGCCATGGCACTATCAGAATTAAACTACCACTTTAACCAATGACCCATATGTTATCCATGGCTGTTACCATGAGACTATGCAACTACCACAATAAGCAATGACCCATATGTCATCCATGGGCATTACCATGACACTAACTATAACCAACTACCACATGTCGACCCATGACCCATATATCATCAATGGGTGTTACCATGACCAATATATCATCCATGGTCTTACCATGACACTATAAGAATTAAACTACCACATTGACCAATGACCCTATGTCATCTATGGGTGTTACCATGAGACTATGCAACTACCACATTGACCAATGACCCATATGTCATCCATGGGTGTTACCATGAGACTATGCAACTACCACATTGACCAATGACCCATATATGTCATCCATGTGTATTACCATGACACTAGTTATAACCAACTACCACATGTAGACCCATGACCCATATGTTATCCATGGGTGTTACCATGACCCATATGTCATCCATGAGTATTATTATGACACTATAAGAATTAAACTACCACATTGACCAATGACCCATATGTTATCCATGGGTGTTATCATGAGACTATGCAACTACCACATTGACCAATGACACATGTCATCCATGGGTGTTACCATGAGACCATGCAACTACCACATTGACCAATGACCCATATGTCGTCCATGGGTATTACCATGAGACTAGCTATAACCAACTACCACATATCGACCCATGACCCACATGTTATCCATGGGTGTTTACCATGACCCATATGTCATCCATGGGTATTACCATGACACTATAAGAATTAAACAACCTAATTAACGAATGACGTATATGTTATCTATGGGTGTTACCATGAGACCATGCAACTACCACTTTGACCAATGACCCATATGTAATCCATGGGTATTACCATGACACTAGCTATAACCAATTACCACATATCGACCCATGACCCATATGTTATCCATGGGTGTTACCATGACCTATATGTCATCTATGGGTATTACCATGACACTATAAGAATTAAACTACCACATTAAGCAGTGACATATATGTCATCTATGGGTGTGATCATGAGACTTTGCAACTACCACATTGACCAATGACCCATATGTCATCCATGGGTGTTACCATGAGACTATGCAATTACCACATTGACCAATGACCCATATGTCATCCATAGATATTACCATGATACTAGCTATAACTAACTACCACATGTCGACCCATGACCTATATTTCATCCATGGGTGTTACCAAGACCCATATGTCAGCCATGGGTGTTATCATGACACTAGAAACTATCACATTGACCATGGGTATTACCATTACACACCGTATGACCCATATGTCTTCCATGGGTATTACCATGACACTATAAGAAACTACCACATTGACTAATAACCAATATGTCATCCATGGGTGTTATCATTACACTAGAAACTATCACATTGACCCATGACCCATGGGTCTTACCATGAAACTATAAGGAACTAACACATCGACCCATGACCCATTCGTCTTTTATATATATATATATATATATATATATATATATATATATATATATATATATATATATATATATATTTGGATTCAAACATAGCATCATAAAGATGTATAGTTTATTATTGTTTAATTCTCGTTTATAATTTTAAGTTAAAATTATGCTATGAACACCTCGTTACTCTATGTTCTTTCTTGACGTTATATACCCTTTCTATCAAGTTAGAACTACCTTATAAAATTTATATTACTAAATATTTAGCGCTAATTTGTATAGTTTGAATTTTTCGTTAGTGGACCTTCAAAATATTTCACAATTCCTTTCCCTCTAACCTACACACGTTAGGCTGCAAATTAGGGAAAGTTATTGATTAGAAATAGGCTTTACATTTTCTGTAATCATCTCCAGCGGCTAATGGATCGAAATCTTTGTTCATTACGTTTGTGCACTAACTTTGGTGATATAGGTTGTCACTCATCTAAAATTTATTTTTATTTAATTTACTATTGTCGTAATCATCGTTTCTTGTTCTCTGATCATCTTCATGTATATTATCATCTTAAATTACAACAACATTGGTTTTGATTGTATTCAATAGTATGCATGTATAGTAATGCCTTCATCTATAATTTATTTTTATTGTATGATTGTTCTCTGCTCATTAGTAGTGTATCATCTTTAGTACATTGGTATTGACTATAGTTTTTTGTTTATTTTTAAGCAAGAAAGATGTCGAACTTGAAACCAAAAGGAGCATCATGTGTGAAGCAAGAAAGATGTTGACTTCTCAATATCAGTAACCACATCCAATGCACCTATAACATCTAGCACCAAAAACCCTAAACCTAAATTATTAACACCAACCATGACTACCACTTCCTCGGCATCACTTACAACATCTACACCATCCTCAACAAATACATCTAAAACTTCAGCAATTGGAACAATACAATCCTCAACACCTACATCAACAACCAAAACTTTAGCACCTACATCATTGAAACCACCCTCAACACCGACATCCACTACCACATCATCAACACCTATATCTACTACCACAAACTCAAAACCTTCATCGACACTACCATCCTCAGCAACTACAATAACTACCACATCCTCCTTAACGAAAGGAACTACCATATCCTCAACATATACATCTATCCCAACACTTATCCCGGAATCTACCGCATAACCAACACAACCAACCCTGAATAGATTTGTTGTTGAAAAAGTAGAAGGTGAAAACAATTCCTCTAAAGATTGTGGACCAGATGGACATTTAACTATTAATGTTTGGAAAAAAACGTGAGTTACCAATCATATCTTACAATTTTTTTCTATGTATAACGTTTTGGTGTACATGTAAATATGATTAGTTCAAAACTAAACCGATCACATGATTCTTTGCAGGCTCATGCCACCAGGCCCTTGTGCATACATTATTAGTCGCTCTTTTTTACAAAGAGTAGACCCACAAGGGTACACTTGCGGAAAAGTAAGCAAAGAAATGCACTAATTATATTGGGAGGAGTTCCAGGTAGTTAACTATATGTGATAAATTGTTGTTTGGTAAACATTTACATTTAAACTTACGTTTATATTGTTGATGTGTAGAAAAAATGTTGTTAGGATGAAACAATAGACTCGCTGGTGAGGCAAGCTTAGGAAAGTAAAGCGACACAAAGTTATGGACTATTTCTACAACATGCAAAGCCCACAAAGAAACCCACATGCCTTTACACCAGCTCATATTGCACATGAAGTTTGGAACTCCTGACAATTAAAATGGAATACAGATGAATACAAGCTAAAATCCAAGCAGAACAAGAAAAATAGGCGTAACAGTGTGGCTGATAGAGTAGCACAACCTACCCATAAAGTTGGATCTGCAAGTCATTTGAAGATAGCTTCTGATTTGGCAATTTTTTTATGGTACATCAATGTTTATGCTTATCTGTATATTTGACATTTTATGGTATCTATGAAGAAGAGGAAATTAGGATGTAATCCACCCCATAATGAATTGTTCATGTATATACACACGAAGCATCATGATGGAGTCACTTTCACAAATGAAAAAAATAGACAAATTCATGTAATATTCATTTCGGTGCAATTAAAATTTTATATTGTAGCTAGTCTATAATGTCATTCATAACTTTAATATCTTTTAACTTATATTATTTTTTATTTTGTAGGTGGTCTATATAGAAAAACGGGAAAAGTTGGAAGCTGAAGGTGCTGAATTTGAGGAGGACAAACTATTTTATGATGTTGTTGGTGGTCGTGACAAAAAAGAAGACTTTATGGATTATGTTCTTTTGCAAAAGCAGTTCCCAACATTAATGGTAAAACGGATGTATCTTACATTTTAGGAAAAAATGATAAAATGAAAGAAATGAGGGAGCATATTGCTAAACAAAAAAAGCAAAACAAAGAGCTTAAACAAAAAATGAAGGCCCAAGAAGACCTAAACAACTCAAGAGTCCGACAATTTGAAAAACAAGTTAACACGACAATGGATCTTATTAATGTCATTATAAAACAACACTAGTAGGTCATAAAGTGTTGATATGTTTATTGCAATTTTTTTTTTTTAGATTAGCCACTTTTCGTTTTCCATGTAATAAATAATTATTGTATTATTTTATGATATAATGTTATTTATTTATTTATTTTTTTTTGTTATTTTTGTTTTTCATATATATTACTACAAAATAATCTGAATTTAATTTACAAATCAATTATTCATCCGTCCATATGAAATTTTTGATATGAAATCTGCCAATATACACCACGAAAATTGCTAGGGATTCACCACCACAAAATTTTCTAGGAAGTCATCAAACGGAAGTTGCTAGGGATTCATCACCATCAAATTTGCTAGGAATCCACAACCATGGAATTTGCTAGGGATTCATCACCACAAAATTTGATAGGGAATCACCACCACGGAATTTGCTATGGATTCATCACCACGAAATTTGCTAGATAATCATCACCACAGATTTTGTGATGGAAGAACTACCACGGAATCTGTGATGGAAGAACTACCACGGAATCTCTGATGGAATCCTACTATGGAATACACGACGGAATACCATCTATCAC